GCAGCGATCGTTCACGCCGATCGTGTCGCGAGGCTCTTCGCTCCGTTTTGATCTCTCTGACACTCTTCTGTATTCCATCGACCGTAGCGCGAAAGAACCACGTAGATTTTTTTTTGTAACCTTTGCACGCTGCTATTGTAATAAATGTGTGCGGTTATCGCAATACTTGCCTGTAGTTAGTTATCGCATAAGTATCGCTCGTTTACATGTATTACATGGATTGTGATCCCATTGCCGATGCGCGCGTAAGGGGAATGGTATATTTGAAATCGACGGTTCTAACAATAAGTCTTTTTTTGACGAGTTCGGAGAGCTCCCGTTCGGAGGTTGCGAGGGATACGTACATCTTCTTCTCGATCATGTCCACTCGTGAACCTGACCACGGTTGCGTAAAGACGCTTCGCGAGCGGCGAGTCGCGGCGTTGTTCACATCCGGTGGTTCCGACTCGTCGGCACGGTCGTAGTGAAGACAACGGAATCGATTGACGCAAAACGCACCGGCGAAAGTAAGATTCTCACGAATGAAGAGCGTTCGTTTGAAGTTCTATATACTTTTATATATTTAATCGTTCCACGTTTTTTTAACGATTCTTCCTACGCGATACAAAGGAACCCGACCGGTGAGAAGCGGCTGTGCCAAACATAGCGACGAATCATGTCTGAACTTCGTCCGACGAGTAGTCTCCGAGGTACAGCCTTCGCCATAGAATTTACGAAATGCCGGTTTTATGACAAATTCGTACTTTTTTGAATACGCAAACGCATGTAAAGACGTTAGAAACGTCACTATTTCGTTTTACAACCTTTTACGCATTTATATACGATTCTGTACAATGTAGATTATTTACTTTTCGAAAAAAAATGATTACCCAAAAAAACTTCTAATTAACGATATCTAGCATAACTACGAGGCGTATCGCGTTACTCTCTTTACAAATATCACAATACTTCTGGATTTACGTAACAAAACCTCGCGTGACTGTTCGAGCTTACAAATTTTCTACAGAATGGTACATGATGTTACTTTTATATACTATCGACCCTGTCGTACTTGAAATCGGCACTTTCTCTTTTCAATTTGCAACCCTATTTTTTTAATAAATTCAATTATGTAAAAAAACCGTATATGATGTGAAAAGTATTAAATTTGACATAGGTTTTCGATCATTGCGACATTCACTCGATAATCGATACTTTACCTCGATCGTATTTGTAGGACGATCTGTATTTCACATATATTAGAGGGAGTGGGGAAGCGAATACCACTTGAAGTTCTTTCTTTTTGTAAGAATTTATTTAATAATTTTTATTTTCAAATTATTCGTACAGTGAAACCATTGCGACTGCGTATACAGAACGCGAATGACGACGGCAATTCGAGAGACGTGTGACACGTCTAGCGTTTGGCGCTCTTCTCGACGTAGGGAGGGAACCGTCTTGCGATTCTAAACGGCAAATGAATCTACATGCAATATTATTCCTGTACGAAGCGTTCTCGCTACGAACGCGCGAGCGAGCAAGCGAGCGAGCATTCACCTCCGCGGCGAATCTGAGATTGCGCCAAACGTGACGCGTATGTATCGCGTCGCGCCCCGTGTGTTTCGCGGTGCGCTCTCTCCCGTGGAACTTTGTAAATGAATTTGCCATCGTTGCTCCGAAAGTGTATCGAATCGTGTGTCACTCGTGCGCGAGTCCAAAGCGCGAGCGAGCGAGCATACACGAGTCGCTCCGCGGCGAATCTGCGCCAAACGTGACGCGTATGTATCGCGTCGCGCTCCGTGTGCTTCGCGGTGCGCTCTCTTTTCTGGAACTTGGTAAAAAAAAATTGCCATCGTTGCTGCGG